TAGAATATTAAATGAACATATTCCACTATTCGATTCCTCTTTTCTCTTCCAACTCCCATTTTATTTCATTTATTATGTCGCCGCACTTTGTCAGCAGTAATGCTACTCTTTCCGATACTTAGAGAAGCTTAACGAAGTAATATTGAATTAAAAGGTACACGCAGTGAAAGAATTTTGACGCAATACTTTTTTTTCCCACAAAAAATAAGGAAGCTGGAAGCTCAATCGCACTTATTGTACATCGCAGGTGTTCGTAGAAAGGTTATGAGCTGTATTAATGACACGAAGGTAAACTGGGGCAATTAATCGTGATAGAATGCTGTTAAGCAAAAAGTGTGAATTCGAAAAATCCACATCTTTTTTGGTTCATTAAGGATGCTTCTGGATCATTTCTGGTTCATTAAGGATGTTGTAATATATTTTTTTAGGCAGACAGAGTTTCACCGATTGATAACAGTGCCGCTTTGGTGATCTGTCATCCGGATGTATGTCCATTTCTCAAATATGTGAACAGTGCAGCAGAAGGTCAATATTATTACGTTGTAACTTTCTCACTGATTGGATTGCACACGGAAGAATTCGATGATGATGATGATGATGACGAGGAGGTGGAGGAGGTGGAGGGCGAGGAGGAAGAGGTGGATGATGAGGAGGGAGGTGGGGATGAGGAAAATGAGGATGATGATAATTCCAGCGATGTTGTTGTTGTTGAAGAAAAAGAAACTTGATGTCGATAGGGCCAAAAAGCTCACAGTTGTATGTTGTTTTACATGAAACCAAATTTTTCCTCTTTTTTTTTTATGCATGTGACAAGTTGTTCAAAATTTGTTAAATTGTTTCCGGAAAAGTGGTACTAACATGCCTAAAAAAACAAGCAAACCACTGCTATTTTGCTTCTCAGATATTCTTGGAAAAGCATTAAACTGAATTTTAATTAGAATTGGTTGAAATGAGGGGGAAAAGGAAAGTTAAGCGAAAAAGATATTCGTGAATTGGTTATTGGTGAGCACAGCAATAAAAGTAAATTTGTAGTGGAAGTAAAACAGCGGAACTGCTCCGGCCCCTTAAATACATGTGAGATGCTACGGCAGAACCCAAATGGAAGGAAAGAACAATGAGGGGAAGAAGGCTGAAGAAGTTAAAAAGTTAAGAAAATGATGAAATAAGATGTGACGGTATATTTATAATTCCGAGGATATCTTCGCCTTCCATCGCAACTAGACCTCGTCAGTACGACGATTGTGGTGCAAACTTAAAAGGCACAGAGAGAGTTGAAACATGAAAGAACAAAAACTTAATGATGGAGAGTTAAAAGCCACAAAAATCAAAGAGACGGACAAAGAAATAAATATTTGAAGGGGATTACACCTGTGAGAGTGGAACAATACAAGTTGGAAAGAGGAACATCGAAACGGTGAAGATAATAAAAGAAAACGATGTCCTCCACTCCTTCCCACTTCACATATTACTACCCCGTCCGTAACGGTTCTGGACCTTTTCCGTCCCGATCTTGGGTTGGCCATCCGCCTCAAATTTGGGTTATTAAACCGATAAGTCATAAATTCGAAAAAAGTTTCTTTTTTACCAACAGGTTGTTGCTATCACTGATTATGCCTCCTTATCGAGGAACTTCCGAATGTTTCCTTGTCGTTAGCGATAACTAATTTTGACTTGGCCTGTTTAACGCGAGGATATTTGATCATTGTCCTGTTTGATCTGACTCTATGTATGTGCCCTCTTTCGGACCTTCTAAGTGGATTTCCAAAATCATTGTCCGATCCAGATGTCTTGGGGGATTTATTCTCCAGCGCAGTCACAAAATTCAGGCTTTCCTCAGGGTTTTATCGGTGGACCGAGACACAAGCATGTTTTACGGCACCATAAGAATCGTGTAGCATTATTTGTCATGCAGTATCCAGCGGCTGCCCAATCGCTGCAGTTGGTTTTGCTGAATTCGTCGGTCTCACGGCTGCAGTCCATATGAAATGGGATCCCTGCAATAGTTGCATTTGGTTTACATATATATATATATGTATATATATATATATATATATATGTATATATGTACATATATATGT